GTAATTAAATATTAACAAAAAAATGAGAAAATGTACATAATGTATATGATAGACAAAAGGTAAAATTCTTACTATATAAAAAGCCCCATATAAATTTCAGCTTACACTTGAGGAAATACAGATACACACACACATTTAGTTCTTTTCTTTGTTCATTTCCTTTTTGTTTAGAAAACTTCCTTTAGTCCTTCTACACATGATTAGTTCTTAGTTTTTCTTCATCTGAGAATGTATTACTCTTTTTATTCTAGAATCTTTTTTTTTTAACATTTTAGTACTTAACACACATAATTTTATATTCAAAACAAAACACTTCTCCCTTAGAGTATTTATCCTTCTCAGTCCCAACAAAGTAGAAAAGAAAATACCTGATTTCCGTATTACTCTATTCTCTTTTCTGTGTACTCAGAGTTGAACTACATGTTTCACTAACCATGGCATCCATTCCATACCCAATCATGCATTTGCTTTTCTCTCGCATTAATTCTAACATTTTTAAGCTTGCTTCAAATTATCAGGCTGGCAACAAAAACTTTTGCTTGTGTTTTACCCTCTGAAACCCTAACATAAACTTTGCTTTTACACTTTCCCAGGAGCTTCAGATACATATTGATGTGAGAGTTCTTTTCAATCAGTACTGCCTGTGTTTCACCACTGCTCTTGTCTCTTTGGACTAGAAATACAGACTCAAACATCAATCCATGAATGCCCTTCAGAAGCTGTTATCTGTTTTCAATTTGCACGAAATATCTTTTTCCATGCCCTTACTTTCAGTGTGTATGTGTCTGTAGGTCTGAAGTGGGTCTCTTGTAGACAGTAAATATATGGGTCTTGTTTTTGTATCCATTCAGCTAATCTGTGTCTTTTGGTGGGAGCATTTAGCCCATTTACATTTAAGGTAATTATCGATATGTATGTTCCTATTCTCATTTTCTTAATTGTTTTGGGTTTGCTATTGTAGGTCTTTTCCTTCTCTTGTGTTTCTTGCCTAGAGAAGTTCCCTTAGCAGTTGTTGTAAAGCTGGTTTGGTGGTGCTGAACTCTCTCAGCTTTTGCTTGTCTGTAAAGGTTTTAATTTCTCCATCAAATCTGAATGAGATCCTTGCTGGTTAGAGTAATCTTGGTTTCAGGTTTTTCTCCTTCATCACTTTCAGTATGTCCTGCCACTCCCTTCTGGCTTGCAGAGTTTCTGCTGAAAGGTCAGATGTTTAACTTATGGGGATTCCCTTGTGTGTTATTTGTTGTTTTTCCCTTGCTGCTGTTAATATGTTTTCTTTTATTTAATTCTTGATAGTTTTATTAATATATGTCTTGGCATGTTTCTCCTTGCATTTATCCTGTATGGGACTCTCTGTGCTTCCTGGAATTGATTAACTGTTTCATTTCCCATATTAGGGAAGTTTTCAACTATAATCTCTTCAAATATTTTCTCAGTCCCTCTCTTTTGCTCTCTTCTTCTGCGATCCATATAATTCAAATGTTGGTGCCTTTAATATTGTCCCAGAAGTCTCTGAGACTGTCCTCTATTCTTTTCATTCTTTTTTCTTTATTCTGCTCTGCAGTAGTTATATCCACTATTTTATCTTCCAGGTCGCTTATCCGTTCTTCTGCCTCAGTTATTCTGCTATTGATCCCATCTAGAGTATTTTTAATTTCATTTATTGTGTTGTTCATTGTTGTTTCTTTCATCTTTAGTTCTTCTAGGTCCTTATTAAATGTTTCTTGCATTTTGTCTATTCTATTTCCAAGATTTTGGATCATCTTTACTATCATTATTATGAATTCTTTTTCAGGTAGACTGCCTATTTCCTCTTCATTTGTTAGGTATGAGATAAATGAATACATATGTTCAAAAAAATGTGTTCATAAGTGTTCATAGCAACTATTCACAATAGTTCCATATTGGAAGCAATGCAAATGTGCATCAATTGATGAATGGATAAACAAGATCATGTATTATACAATATGGCCCTTCTCAACAATTAAAAGGAATTAATTACTGCTATTCTCAATGACATGGAAGAATCTCTTAGATGAAGTTAGGCATGAAAGTATGCATAATTTATTATTTCATTTATATGAAATTCTAGAAAAAGTAAATCTAGTCTATAGTGATAGAAAGCAGTTCAGGAATTGTCTAGGATCAGGGGTGCAGGCTGGAAATTGACTGGGAAGGGACACAGGAGTCTTTTAGGATAATAGAATGTTATATATATTGATTGTGGTAGTGAGTACATGAGTGTATACATGTGTCAAAATTCTTTGATCTGTACATTCCAAATGGTTGCATTTTGTTGTATTTAAATTATACCACAATAAAGTTAATTTAGAAATTAAAAGAAAAAAGCAACAAAAAAGAAGCTGTTATCTGGGCATTGCAACATAGAGAAAGTTACAAAAAATAGGTGAGCTAAGTAAGATACATATCTATACCCCTTATCCATATCTCCAGATGGAGCTCGTGAGGCAGGAGGCATATCTGATAATTACTGTATTTTGGTTTTTCATAAATAATAAATTTTTAATATTTACAGAATGAATGACCAAAAGTACATTTGGAATGTACTTACAGTGTTAGTAAAAAGACAGTTAAAAAAACTTTATTGAACTATAATAATTAATATAGATGGCAGGATAAGATTTTAAAAAAGAAGAACAGAATAAATAGTCCTAAAATTGACCCATATATAGGTATTAGTGTATAAAAAAGTGAGGCATACCAAAACAATCCAGAAATAATAGACACTTTGGTAAAAGTTCTTGGAAAATTGATTATATTTTTGAAAAAAGAATTATATTTCTTTTTATCAATTATAACAAAATATTCACAATGGATTAAAGGACTAAAAGTGTTGTTAATCATAAAATTGTAATAAATGAGAATATAAGAAAATAATTTAAATATTGGTGTATAAAAGGACCTTCTAAAGAGAGAGGCAAAGCATAGTATCATAAAGAAAAAGGTAAAGAAAAATACAAAAATCTCATAACTTTACAAGTTTTGTAAAGAAAGAAGAGTCACACTCTAGACAAGATTTGTAATTTTGCAGAATCTAGTGGATTTCATCCATAATTTTAAATAGTATATAAAAACCAAAAAAGGCAGGCAAGTCAAAAGAAAAATACTGTTAGTCAAAGGCTGTGAGTAAACAAGGCTCACACAAAGAAATACAGGTGGCGAATAATCATATGGAAATGTGTTCAATCTTCATAATAAGCCAGTGAAATATAAATCAAAATAGTGACATGCTACTTTTGCCTCATCAAATTAGTCAACACTTTAAAAAAATGATTTCATTTGATAGGATCTAGGGAAGCTGGCATGCTCATACTCTCATTAAATAAGTGTGGTTCCTCAACACTTATTTGGAACACTTTGTAGCTACTGAAAAGTTTGAGTCATGGCTCCATGTATTATAATGAAATGGTCCCTAAGATACACTAGGTGAAACCAAAAGTCACTGAATAAGGAGTATGATGAGTTCAACTTTATGTTAAAATAAAAATATTATGAAAAACCATCTAGAAACATATAGGTAGCATTAAACAATTGTTCTCATAATACTGGGTGTGTGGGTATGAATATATACAAATTCATATAAGAAAGAAAATATTTCTTTATTTATATATTTAATTCAGAAGACAAATACCACATTTGCACTACCAAGAGACAGGGTTTTGGAGGTTATCACAGGCAACACATGCAACAGTGCAGACAAGATACATGCCTCCTGCATCTTCTACCAGGGAATATATTAATTACAACATCTCCTTCTCCACATCAAGTGTGGCTTTCACTATCTAGAATTAAATCCACAAAATGTCAATAAATTATTAGGCTTTCAAAAATGTGTCAAAATATGTGCTAGTTGATTTACCTTCATTATCTAATTTAATTCTCACAACAACATAAGAGGTAGTTCCTATGATTTCCCTCATTGAATAGATAAAACATGATTTCAGATTGCAAGTAATTTGTCCTAGAGCACACAGAAGGTAACTAGCAAAATTGCAGTTCAATTCTGTTTCTCCCTCCAAAAACATCATTTACTGAGTATCAACCACATTTAATGTGTATCATCATACAATGATCCTGCAGTATAAGAACTGTATTTTACTGATAAAGGAAAGAGACACGAAGGATTTAAATAAAATATCTATAGTCTCACAATGCCAAAGGCTGTCTTTCGTGCCTGTGCTTCCTTCCTTTACCATGTCATTGTCAGCCAGGAAAGACCTGGAAGAACTTCTCATTATCCAGGAAGGCACATGAGATTCTCATCCACTATGAATAGTCTTAAACTTCAGGTAACCAAAACTTCTCTGCAGATGACACATTCCACATAAAATAGCATGTGTCAATCATGTCAGGTCTTATGCCTGAAGATCAGAAGACAGATTCTGAGAGCATTGCTGGTGTCAAGGTTCTCTACATGTACCCATCTCTTGGTACATCCATCCAGTACTTATTTTTCTCCTTCCTGTGTATGGATCCATTTAATCTCCTCATCCTTACACATCCACAGACACCTGTGTGTCCTAAGATCAGAGAGGGGGAGGCAGATGGCAAATCATAAGCCTTCTGAGCTCTTTGGATAATGGCCACTTCCAGGATTTAGTTGATTGAGGACTCCATATTGCAGAAGTTTACGATACCAATAGATGGGGCAGGGGGAGGTGAAAGAGCTATGATTTTTAGTTTTGTTTGGAGTCAGCAAAGATTCCAAAAAAGAAATTCCAAAGGAAAGGTGAGAGGCACTTAAATAATCAGTAAGTGCTGAAATAATGATTCTGAGACCTACAGCAAATAACTTGTTTCCCACAGGATACGTCCAAGAGCATATTTGGCCCATTTCACAACGTTTTGGACAGGACCAAATATCAAGGAACTTTTGGTGTGGACCAAATGTCTTATAGATTTTTTGATAGGACCACATATCTGCTAACTGTTTTGTATTTCTTTTAAATTAATTTAAATTTAGTAAAAATTATAAAACTTACATTAATCTTGATCTTACATCTTGAGCTAGTCCATTCTGCACTGCATGAACATTGATACTTATCAATGAAATCTATGCATCTGAAACACAGAATTATGTTTTTAAATAAGTAAGGCAATGAAAGCATAATTTCAAGAGAGTTTACTGTTTAATTTTTTTTTTTTTCTTTTCCAGGTCAGGAAAAAAAAACACATTCCCATGAGCAATAGAAGGCAGAGTCTATTTCTACTTTCTTATCCTTCAAGGTGACTGGACTGAAAGAACAAATCAATTCTCATTTTTGCGATCTTCCCCATGGCAATGGAAAGGAAGAAAAAAAAAACAGCTTTAAAAGATAAAAAAGTATGTCTAGGGCTTATGTAGGAAACTGAAATCAGCTGGGGCCAAACGGCACTGTAGTGAATTACCCATCTTCATCCTCTCTCTCTGGCTTACAAAGTCTGTAGCAAGACTAGGAAAGAAAAATGGTGCTGCGGAAGGCAGCTGTGTGCCTCTTCGAGTCATCCCTCCTTGTCACCTGCATCTTCTAGAAATATCCCCACTCTAGATTTGCATAAACTAATATTCTATCCATGAGCAGAATAGTTATTATACAACTCTATAAAGAGATTCACAAAATGTCTTATCTGCAAATAGGGATGAAAGAACCGGTCTATTTAGGAACATTTTAAATACTAAGTTTGTGGTATTATCCCTCCACAGAACAAATAATAGAATCTCTCATCATCCTACCTGTTACTACTATTACTGTGAGCATTACTTTTAAGATTATTAAAGTCCAATTAATTCACATTTGTTGAAAATTACTTTATGCTAATGAGCAGAAATAAAAGAAGGGCAGAGATAATGTATCAGTGCATTTCATTAAGTTAAACGGGCAGCCTCTGTCATCTTAACTGTACTTAGCTCTTGTTTTATGAAAAAGCATAATTAAAATTACCTTTATCAACTTTTCCTTGAGATTCAGTTTTAAATATCGTGAGTTAAATTTGCCTTCTTAGATTTAATAATAGAAGAATAAAAATAGCTACCTGCCATGTAGAGGAGGATGTGAGAGGCAGTCATTTGCCTTTGCTTCACAGTGTGCTCTGAAAAACCCACTCTTGCAGTCACAGGTGTAATGATTTATGCCATCAATACAAGTTCCGTCACGGAGACAGGGCTTTGATAGACATTCGTCTATATTTACTTCACAATCGATGCCTACATTAGAAGAGAAAAGACAAAAAAAACAGGCTATTTAAATGCAAAACTCAAAAGTTTGTTCATTATAGAAAATGTGACCAAGAAATCAGAACTCCCTCCATTAAAGATAATTTGACATCTTATAGTGAAAAAGAACAATTTTTCAAGGTTAAACACGTTTAGGTCTCTGAACTCTCAGACTAACTTAAAGTGAATGAGGACAACAAAGCACAAGCTTAATCTACTTAAAAGATTTGTTTTTAGAGTGAGGAGTTGTTTATTAAAAATATAGGTGAAGTAATGAATTTCATCAAGTTGTCACTGTGAATACTAATTTATACTATTTTTGGTAATGATCCTTGATAGTCTAGTCAAACATTTATTATCTACAGGTGTTAAAAGTTTGAATTTTCTATATTTGGTCTTAGTGGGTCAATGATGAATAATGAAATAAGCCAATAATGAACTAAGATTTCTAAATGTAATCTAACTTTGCCTAAATACCTAGTGTTTTTGAAGTGTTTTTGAAGGCCAAAAAAAAAAAATAAAGTTTCAAATAAATAGTTTCAAATAAATAGTTTGAAAGACTATCTCAGTATTTGTTTGGATATCAGGTAAAAGTTTGGGGACAGAGCGATTGGCAGATATGCAACTGTTTCACAAGGTGACATCATAACTTTATTTATATACCATATCAGAACTTCTATTTAAGTGACTGCTATTTAGAGTGTTCACACCAGGAGAGTCTGTGATTTATTGCAAATGAAACTTCCAATGCAAAAAAAATATTTTTGGAAATTTTTTTAGAGATAATCAGTTTTCAAGTCAAAATTCTATTTTTAATGGTTACATCTTATTTTTTTTTACTGTAACTGTCACTACCTATATAGAACTTCGGATATTAATGATACCATAAAATTAATATATGTAAATTAGTCAAATCTGCATCCATATTTAAAAAGACCATCAAGATTTAGTTCAGGGTGTGGAATAAACAGACATAACAGACTATATTAGGTTGCAGTAATAATAATAAAAAGGGACCTACTTCTCTATGTCTCAGTGACCCATGTCACAGGCTTATTTCTCACTAGTATTCCATGGCAAAGGTGAGCTACAGATCCAGTTTATATTATCTTCACACTGGGACCCAGGTTAATGGAGCATCCTCTATCTGGGTGATTGCCATCATTGTTGAAGAAGGAAAAGGGTACTTAGCATTGTTGAAGAAGGAAAAATGTACATACACTGCTTCTTAAATCTTCTACATATATTAATTTGCCAATCCAAGTCACATGACCAAGCCCAACATAAATGAGATGGGAATTAATGGTCCTCCCTCAGGAAATGGCAGCTATTTGTGACTATATTAATATTTAGTCAGACACGATCATTGAAACTTCTCACTGTAAATGAGGATCATTTATTAGTATATCATAGGTTTATTGGAATAATAATTAAAACCATGTACTTAAACAACTAGCCCAGGGCCTTGTACACATTTAACATTTGATTATTATCATTTTCCTGAGACAAATTTTATCAATACAACTATGTTATATTAAATAAGTGATAACAGGTGTTTCCAGAGACATATTATTCCAATTAAGAAGATAAGTGAAAAGTTTTTCTGTAGGACTATGTACAAATGCTGGCAAAATCAGTGATGGAAATTTCAGTTAAGAAGAAGTGGTCTACTTAACACAAAAGTAGGGTTGAGAGGCAGAGTTATAAAGAGAATTGTTTAGGGTGCATCCAGTGCTATTTGGAGAAAGGAGAAGCATCTCCATGGAGGGCAAACATGTGTCAGTGTAGCTGGAGAACACATCACCAACATTACCTGAGGAACTTTCTCACCTGATGCTTTATTCATTAATTAAGCTGTGGTGATACTTTGACCCCCTAAGTAGCCTCCAGAGAGGATAAGAATGTAATGACTGACTGACCTGAACATTTTTGTCCCTGTAAACACTTATTTATTTATTTTTTTTTTCTTTTTTAACACTATAGTCCTTGAGCACCATACAAGTCAGGTCCCCTTTTAACTTTTTAACTTCATCTTATCCTACCCTCACCCTTGGCTATTCTGCTGTCTTTGCGCTGACCTCAAATACTTTGTTCCTCTTTCTAGAATTCTCTTTTCCTAGATATTTACAAGAGTCACTCCTTTATTTCTTCAGGTCTTTATTCCAATGTTGTTTTCTCAAGGAGGCCTATTTGACCACACTATTTAAAATTGCATCCCCTTCCTCACCCATAATCACCATTATCCTGTTTTATGTTTATTTTATCACCATAGCAAACAATCTCCTTCTGGCGTTCTATGAGATTTACTCATTTTTCTTTTATTTTTGTCTTTCTTCCCCATTATAAACTTAGCTCCATTAGGGCATGGTTTTTGTGTCTAATATGGAATTCAGTGAAATCTTTTTAAGTAAATACGTCATTGTTGTGATTGTGTGTGTGTTTATATTTTGTTTTTCATGTCAATTTTGTTTGTTTGTGGGAATTCCCTGGCAGTCCAGTGGTTGGGACTCTGCGCTTTCGCTGTCAAAAGTGAAGGTTCAATCCCTGGTTGGGGAACTAAGATCCTGCAAGCTGCACACACTGCCAAAAAATTTTTTCTTTTTGTTTGCTTATTTTCCTCAGAAGTCTCTGCCCCTTCCCAAGCAAGAACAAAGCAATTCTTGAAATCTCAGTCCTTGCAATGGTGAGACTCAGAATCTGGAATGAGGTGATTCCTCCTAGGTGTGTGTCTGAAAGGCTTGTCTTGCCTGTGTAGTCAAGGGGAATTATTTAATGAAATTTCTATTTTTTTCTATCTTCAAGCAGTGAAGCTTCTGTGATAACTTAAAAAGACATGAAGGTGTGGAGAGTGTTGAACTTCAGTTCAAAATGAGCTCCTCGTACATAATTACCAGCTGTGAGAATGAAGGAAAGACTGCTGCTTGCAACAACACAAATGGACCTTGAGAGCAGTGAGCTGAGTCAGACTGAGAAAGACAAATCCTGCATGATGTCATTTGTATGTGGGACCAAAAACAAACAAACAAACAATTCATAGAAAAAGAGAAGAAAATGGTTGCCTGAACCAGAACCAGGGAGGTACGGACAATAAGGAGAGGTTGGCCAAAGGGTACATATTTTCAGCTCTAAGTTAAATAAGGCCTGAGGATCTAATGTATAACATGGTAGCTAAGTTGATAGTGCTGTTCTGTATAATTGAAATTTGTCAAGAGAATAGGACCTAAATGTTCTCACATATACACAAAGGAAAGATAAAAATTCTGAGGTGTTGTATGGGTTAATTAACTATGTGGGAGCGGCCCTTTCACAATGTGTATGTATATGAAATCATCACCTTGTGCACTTTAAAAGCTTATAAGTTTCTTTGTCAACTATACCTTAAAAGATCTGGAAAAAAATAGAAATTTTATATCAACACCATAAATGGAAAACCATTATCTTGTTCCAAAAGTAAAAAGGTAACCCAAAATTAAATGCAATAAAAACAATTACCAAGACATCAAAACTTCAAATTTCTCATCTGTAAACTGTGGATCAAAATATCTATGTTATAGAACAGTTTACAGATATATGGGAAGTATATATACATTTCTAGGGGTACATAGAAGATAATAAATGATATTTATAATACATTATTGTTATAATGACACATTCATTTATCTTCTTCATGGGATTAAAATACGAATGCTTTGACATTGTGTCCACGAATCCAAGCAAATCTAAAATAAATGATAATTAGTATTTATTAGACATTTCCAAAGGCTTGTTCAAAATTTGTCTCAGTTCTTTGCCGGATTTGCCTTATATTATGTCACTTACTTCTTGCTGCTCATTGATTTATCTAACACATACTTATTGAGCATCTATTTTGTGCCAGCCATAGTTCTGGACTCCTTCCATAGTTCTCTTTGACTTGGTGTGTATCATCACAGCCTACCTCCATCATAGTGTAACAGATATTTCCCAATAACTTAACAATGAGCATTGTGGATTTTGTTTATCAAGAGAAGAAATAGTACAAGAAAGTTTTGATTTTTGTTGTCTGACCTATTGTTCTTTCCTGCTATCCAGTTGCTTGCCTTGTGGCTACAGTAATTTATATTTGTGATGATTTTTAATTGGCTATTCTAAAATTAGAGTTCTTAATTTCATTCATAACATAGGCAACTCCTTTTCTAAGCAGAGTAGATGGTTACCTATGTAATTTGGGGGACTTTCCATGCCCCTGCCTGGGTCAAAACCCTCTTGACCAGATTACCTCAATGCCTGTCTCTGTATTAGAGATTTTCACATCAGATATAAAAAATCCTTTGCAGAAATAAGCCATTAAAGTATATAAATTGAGAAGCACGTTCAGTAAGATATTTACATGCACCAACACCATTATGACAAATAATATATGTAAATAAATACATCTTTATCTCTCTGTATGTATCACCTATCTGTCTAACTAACTCTTCTCCAACCTCTGGTCCTTCCCTTACTTTCTCTCCAAGCCTTCTTCACCCAACTTCTCCCCACTGATTAGTCTTATATGTTGGAAAATTTCCCAAAATGACTTTTCTGATTCCTAATCCTTTTCATTTCACATGTGCTATCCTAACAAAGTACTTTATGGACCCTTTACTGCATACTGAAATAAATGTTGTCTTCTTAGCCTCTGGGTCAACCTTGCCTTTCTTACCATTCCTCTGATGTTGTCAACTACTCTAGTCCCCTAGTTTACAAACCTGATTGAATAATAGAATCACCTGTGGAGTCTTTAAAATTATAACTTCCCAATTCTGAATCTCTGGGAAGTAGGCCTGACAAACTTCACTAAGAAAACATTTCCAGCTGGTTCTAAAGCACAGGTAGATGTAAAGACCACTGCTTTCATAAAACTAGATTAGAATTAAACATTATGTTTTCTTATATCCATGTTTACTCCTGATAATTCTGCCTGGATTGTTATGTCTCCATTTCTGCCTATTTGGTAATTGCAATCATTG